AGGCATAACTTAGGTGAGTAGAGTACAGATACACCTGAAAGGTGTGAGTGTGTACGCAAATACATAATCTACATGGCTCCCCACTCACTCAAGCTGTCTCTTTCCATCTACACTGTTATTTTTAGCTATGTAGTGTACTACTGCCTACTCTCTGGAGCCTTTCCCCAATCCCTGCCACAGGAAAAGACTCTGGCAGCAGGGGAGAGGCAGTGGGGAAAGGCTCCAGCAGCTCCCCACTCCTGGAGATCTTCACCCTCTGCAGACAACGACTCCGGCAGCAGAGAGAGTCTCTGGCAGGGAGGAGCTGCTGAAGCCTCTCTTCGCTGCCTCATCCTGCTAAGCCTTTTGCTGACATGTACAGCTATACATCACAGTGTGGACGCAGCTTGTTTTTCCACTGTGGCACGTAGCTACACCTATACTACATGTTTCCAGAAGTGGTGTGTAGTGTAGATGTAGGAACAAAAAGTTAATGGTGAATAGATAATCAAACAATTAATATTACTAACAAATGGGAAGGAATAGGAAAAGAATATTTAGCTAAGTTAAATATATTCATGTCAGCAGGGCCCAATGAAATTCATCATAGGGTACTTAATGAAGTTGTTGAAACAATCTCATAGCCATTAGCAAATAACTTTGAGAGCTCATTGAGGATGGATGAGGACTCAGAGGGTTGGAGAAGGGCAAACCTAGTAATTATCTTTAAAGAGCGAAATTAGGAGGACCTCAGGAGTTATAGGCCAGTCCACCCAACTTAGATACTTGGACAGATACTGGAACAAATTATTAAACAATCAGTTTGTAAGCACCTAGAAGATAATAGGTTTATAACGAATAGCTAGCATGGATTTGTCAAGAACAAATCATGCCAACCAACCTAATTTCCATCCTTATCAGGTTTACAGGCTTAGTGGATGGGGCTGAGGGGGAAGCAGTAGTAAGATTTTTGACATGACATTCTCATAAGCAAACTAGGGAAATGCAGTCTTGATGAATTTACTATAAAGGTTGAAAGACTGTACTAAAATAGCAGTTATCAATGGTTCATTGTCAAACTGGGAGGTGCCAGAACTTAGCAGGCTCACAAGGGTCATACCTAGGTCTGGTACTATTCAATATTTTCATTAATGACTTGGATAATGGAGTGGAGAGTATGCTTATTAAATTTGCAGATGACACTAAGCTGGGAGGGGTTGCAGGCTTTGGGAGAAAGGATTAGAATTCAAAATGACCTTGACAAATTGGAGAATTGGTTTGATATCAAAAATATGACATTCAATAAAGACAACTGCAAAGTACTTCACTTAGGGAGGAACAAATCAAATGCACAACTACAAAATAGGGAATAACTTGCTAGGTGGTAATACTGCTGAAAAGGATATGGGGTTATAGTGGATCACAAACTGAGTTTGAGTCAACAATGTGATGGAGTTGCTAAATACATTAAAAGAAAAGGCGTACTTGTGGCACCTTAGGGACTAACAAATTTATTTGAGCATAAGCTTTCATGAGCTACAGCTCACTTCATAGGATGCATTCAGGAAAAGACTCTGGTAGCAGGGGAGAGGCAGTGGGGAAAGGTTCCAGCAGCTCCCCACTCCTGGAGATCAAGGACAAGGACTCCGGCAGCAGAGAGAGTCTCTGGCAGGGAGGAGCTGCTGAAGCCTTTCTTCACTGCCTCATCCTGCCAAGCCTTTTGCTGACATGTACAGCTATATATCACGGTGTGGATGCAGCTTGTTTTTCCACTGTGGCATGTAGCTACACCTACATTACATGTTTCCAGAAGAGAAAACTTATGCTCAAATACATTTATTAGTCTCTAAGGTGTCACAAGTACTTCTTTTCTTTTTGAAAATACAGACTAACACAGCTGTTACTCTAAACAGACTAAGATCATTCTGGGGTATGTTAACAGGAGTGTCATATGTACGACTGTGAACCCTAGAACCATCATATTCACCACTGTCAGATAATTATGATATGTGTTGCATAAAGTATGCCCTGTGAGGTATCATTTTAAAAGTGTTAGTCTGCTGAATATTGATATCCTGTTGGATTGTATGTACTATTATTATTTGTGAGGTTATGAAGTATTGCTGTATACATTACTAAAATATGTTGTAAGGTTGGGGACATCCACAACCAGCCTTTCAGGTACAGCAATGGAGTAGCTAGATGTGCTGATGGCTCATTAAAAGGAATCCACTTTCCCAATGGCCATCCCAGAAGATTTATCAGAGAGAGCACATATACAATGGAGGCTGCTTTACCAATGGGGGCAGACCTCAATGTCATAGATCTTTCCAGCAAGTGGGAAGAAACTATAAAAGAGGGGAAGTGACATTATCACCTGGCCTCACTCCCCCCACAACTCAACACCTGGAAGAAACGTCTGAAGGACAAAGACTTTGAACTAGGAGAGGGTGGTCCCAGGCTGGGAAAGAGTTCCAACCTGTGTATTGAGGATCTGTGACTTGCTTATACCATCTGTCAGAGTGAGAAAGTGCTTGATTCAAATCCTGATTAGTTTGCAGAACTCAGACTGCAAATTTATTTTTATTTCTTAAGTAACCAACACTGATCTCTAGACTATGCCCACTACATATAATCACTTAAAATCTATCTTTACATAGTTAATAAATCTGTTTTATAGTTTACCTAAAACAGTGTGTTTTGGTTGAAGTGCTTGAGAAATCTCAGCTCAGTTTACAAATGCTAGTGTGTGTCCTCTCCACATTGAGGGAGGGGCAGACTGGGTAATTAACTTATACTGGCCAGGCTTCTGACCGGTGCAAGATGGTACAATTCTGGAGTGCGAGGCTGAGGAGTGGGGAGAAATTAACTGGAGCCTCCCTATTTGTGGTTCATGAGTGTCTGGGAGAGATCATTCATGTAACTCATTTGGGTGTGTCCTTGCCTGTGGATGTCTGTGTAAGTGTAGTGCCTGCCATAGTTTTATGGCTTGACACAGCACCACAGTGTGAGAGGGATACCCCAGGTTGTAGGGACAGAGAGCTCAGTGGTCCCACAGTCCAGGTTGTAGCCTGGGAACCCCATCAGAAAGGAGGCAATTTTCCCAGTCTACTTGGCAATGGTGAGGCCTCAGCTAGAGAACTGTGTCTCATTCTGGGCCACACTCTTTAGGAAAGATATGAGCAGACTGGGAAGCATCTATAGGAGAGCAACAAAAATGATAACAGTTTAGAAAACCTGACCTCTGAGGAAAGGTTAATAAAAATGGACATGTTAATTCCTGAGAAAAGAAAATGGAGTGGGGACCTGATAACAGTCTTTAAATATGTTAAAGGCTATTACAAAGAGGACAATGCCCAGTTCGTCTCCTTGTCCACTGAAGGCAGGACAAAATGTAAAGGGCTAAAACTGTAGCAAGGGAGATTTAGCTTAGATATTAGGAAAACTTTCTAACCACAAGGGTAGTTAATTTCTAGAATAGGCTTCCAAGGGAGGTTGTGGAATCCCCATCACTGGAGGTTTTAAAGAACAGGTTGGACAAACACATGTCAGGGAGGGTCTAGGTTTACTTGGTCCTGTCTCAGCACAGGAGGCTGGACTTGATGACTTCTTGAGGTCCCTTTCATCTCTACATTTCTATGATTCTGTAAGGACTCAGTCCTACGAGATGCTGACCAATCTCAACTTCCTTAAAGTTAATGGGGGTTGAGGGTGCCCAGACATAAGTTTCAAGTCCTAAATGGTGTTGACACACCACTATATTTTCATGTCATTTAGAAAACTGCTCACACAAGGTCTTATTCTGTTAAAGGAATGCACAGTTAGGAAACCCAGACAACCTTAACTCTGCCCACAATGCAATAACTTTTTAATTATAATTAAGGCATTTTAGTGTTTGTGGTCCCAAATTAGATAAAACTGCATTTGAAAGGCACATTTGATGCCCCCACCTCATTTTGTCACTATAGGGCAGAGCTAAGGGTGTTTGGGGTCCTTAATTGTGCTTTTCCTAACTTTCACATGTTTGGATTACTTTCAAGTTTAACCTTAACTCTGAATCTCCTGGATTTATAATGCTGGATTTTGGGATAATTACAACAGCTCTATAATGTACTTGCAGGTTGTTTTCATTAGGAGGAGCAATTGATGATAAAGTCAGGTATTTCTTTGCTGCAATCCTGTTTTTTTTTTTATTCTGAATATAGCAGAATCAAACACCAGGCAACAGTTTCCTTACTCAATATTCCAATCCACATTTTTTACAGCCAGTACTGTACTTAAAAATCTTTTACTGAGCTTTCTCTCAGGGTCATACTACAAGTGCTTCTCTGGCTGTCCTTGCTTTCTGTTGCCTTCTTTGTCTACTTCTGTGGTATTTCTGCTCTCATACACAGAGCTCTAGCAAAACAATACTCAGCAAACTCCCTCTGCCCACTTAGCTCAGTTTCTGACTAGCCTTGCATGTGGACTGTGTTTTGGATGGCAGCTCCTACTGTTTCAGCTACCATATGCCAAAAAGAGTGTAAGTGCTTTTTACATTTAGCCTGATGAAGTGCAGCTGTCATACCCCTCAGCTCCAATGAGGTTTCACCCAATTCCCAACATAACGATATATACCAAAGGCAGGATATAAGAAAGTGAAATTCATGTCGGAAAAATATGTCAGGGAAAAAACCACAAACATAGGTATTCAATGGGTAAGGAAGAAACTTGGAACACAGTCATGCTTTTCTAAGTAGTCTATCCCAAGGGAAGTAGTGGGAAATTCATCATTCAGGTCATTGATTTCAATGACTATTCTGTCTGTATGAGGAATATGGAATTGGGCATATACACCATCCTCCAAGGAAAACTATGTATTAATGAAAATAGGACAAAAATCACATGTCACAAAGCCTTTCAATAAACACACTAAACAGAAATGGGGACAGGATTGGACTTTTCTGTCTCCAGTTTCTGTGGACTAACTCTTGAATCTCCCTTGTCCAGGGAGAACAACCTAAATGGCACCATTTACCTCTATTCCAGATCATGTGCTGGGTACCCCACAGGTGCTGGGATCCATCTAGAAGCAAAGAATGGAGCTGGATGCAGAATAGGCAAGCTGAGTTGGAGAGCAGAGGATTGGGGGTATTCACACTGTCCCAGCAATCTGGCAAAGATCAGAATGGAAAGAGAATACATGCTTAGCCTCTATAACTTTTGGCTCCAGTCCACCATGATTGTGAACCCCACATTTGAGAGGAAGTTCCCAGGAGGCTCTAGAAAGCTGTGGAGCCTGTCAGTATAGCTGAATTGGAGATGGATATGAATTTGTTTTCAGGCTGTAGATTCAAGAGCCAAAGTTCAGTGAACTTTGGCCACATGGCAAAGCTTATGTTTTCAATTTGTATGAGATTATTTTTTCACCAAAGCAAGCTGGCTTTATGCAGGTTAGGTATGTGTGTGGGGAGCGATGGGGTGGAAGCAACACTGTGTTGGGTCAGCCACTGTGTGGACTCAGTGGACGTTTGTTCTTTATAAGGCACCTTGATACTATAGTGATTGATGCTCTATAAATACTTTAGATAGATAGATACATGAATTAATATACAGGAGCTGCTTTAGTTGTGTTCCAAGACTGTGGTATACATTGGGTCCCATGCTTTTAAGGACCACAGTTCTCCATGCCCCTTCCCAGCTTATTGACAAGATCTCCACCAACCAGTAGGCTTCCATAACCTCTCTCCCACACTGAACGATTAACTGTGGGGATTCAATTTTGTTCCAAGTTGTTTAACCCTTTCCTGTGCTTTCTTCTGAATGATGGAAACCTTCTGATCTCCATGTCACTTAGAAATGAGGGGAAAGGGCTACCGTTTTTGTAAGACCCTTTTTACCGCGTTGAAGACAAATGCTCTTGATCTGTCCACCTGTCAAATCCTCCAACCCCAGGAACATGTGAGACTTTCTGGGGCCTTGCACAACTTACTTCACAACCCCCCCCCCCCCCTTAAAACCTAGGGATAACTTTAAATACGTAAATAAATAGGGCCAGATCCTACAGTAAATAAATGTAGTTTCACTAAAATTAGTGGAGCTTTCCTGTTTTACAATAGCTGAGGGTCTGGCCCATGAAGACAGACAGACTTGAAATGGTACAAGAGATTAATGTCTGAAATATGCTCAGCTGCTGAAACTTTTCAGAACATAATCTGGAGAGTAATTCAGCACATTCCCAATGTTCTTAACTATAGTGATGACATTTTAGTCTTTGGCAAAACTCAGGAAGTACAAAGTCAAACTCTTGTGGTTATATTTGACTGCCTGAGAGCTACTAATCTAACATTTAAGGAAGCCAAATGTGAATTAAATGAAGCAATGCTAGAATTCGATGGGCACATTTCCCCCCCAGAAACTGGAATACAGCCAGTCCTCAAAGAGTAAAAGCAAAGAAACACACAACCAAACCTAACATTTATATTGTAAGAGCCCATCAGAGATAGCCAGGCACATTGAGGCACAGGCTACTTTAACGTCACTCCTATCCTGAAGAGTTTAGGTACAACATCATCATTCTAGGCCAGTAAAAATCTGCAAGGGTGAGGTTTCCTTTCTTAAATCTACCTCCCTACTGATCTTACCCACAGCTGAACCTGCCAGGGGCTTTCATCTATGACCATTTATAAATTCTCTCAGATTTTCTTCACTGAATAAAGGACTATGAATCACTCTCTGACTTCTGAGTCTAAGTAAAATATCATGTATGAATAATGATGGTTAATGATGGCCAGATGTTTGGATTTGAAATTATGACATATTTCTTAAGTTAGTTTTAATTCTGCTGTTGATCCTGACTTCCTCTGTGGCCTTGGGCAAGTCAATTCTGACAGAAAGTGTGTGCTCATTTTGGGTGTCTCAATTTTTGGGTACTCATGAGACCTAGAATTTGATTTTCAAAGATGCTGAGCACCCACAGCTCCAAGAGAATTCAAAGACATCACGTCCTCAACATGTCTGAAAAGCAGGCTCTAAATATTTTCAGTTGAGGATCCAAAATTGCAGGCTCCTAAAATAAGTGGGAAATTTTGGCCTAATTTTGTTGACCAAGAACACAAGGGGAATCCGTGTCAGAGTCTGTACTGAAGCACACAACTTCCTAGACATGCTCAAACCACTAGACCACATCTTCCAATATAAACTACACCATCCCATACTAATCACTATCCATAAGGGAAGAGAACTTGGCAGATGAATGTTTATAAGTGAGAGATTTCCTTACAATTCCCGTCATATACTCTGCAAGGATGATGCAGCTGGATAGACACAGGACCCTATTTTCAGGCAGTGGGAACAAAACATTCCTGGGCTGTGGAGCTTCTGGCCAGAAGAGATCAGGCTGAGCTGAAGTTTGATGAATTTGAATCAAAGTTTAAAACGCTTCCCTTCAGAAGCATTGCCCAAGGAGGGGGAGAATGCTATACACATGCAAAATCACGGCCTTTTCCCAGGAAGAATGCAGGGGTTGGGCGGGAACACCTTTTCAGGGGGAGGGGTGCTTTTGTGCTCCATAGAAACCACGGTGCTGGCTCTATTCCAGTGATATAATCCGTTGGTGCTCACTATGCAAGTTTAAAGGTTACTTTGTGACATCAGTGCAGCATAAACAATCAGCATCCGAATCCAAGATCTCAGTCAAAGATTGTCATTTATATGATACAATTAAAAGGAATAAAATCTATCTATTTTTCACATTTTTGAATGGAGGGTTGATTTTAGAAACTGAAAACATAGCATAGAAAGTGGAATATATGACTGAAAACACAGAATCGTGCACTTCTTGCTTTGATTCCCAGAAAGAAATGGAGCTACCATGCACTCCATTTTGTTTAGTACAGAGTAACAAAATCTGTTCAAGTCACTGGAAATCACCTGGTGAGGACGTTAGTTGGAAATAGCAATTTGTCAGTTTTACAGAATATTTCCATACAAAAACTCGCTAACATTGCTTCCTTGTCTTGTTGCTTTTGTTTTTGTCATATAAAAGGGCTCTAGTGTCTTAAAAGCAGCAGTTCAACTTCATCTAATCATAGTGCCATAACATCTGCAATTCAGTTCCTATTTAATGGTTATATTGGATGCTATTTAATAACTGGTTTGAGGTTACTATTTTGGGGTAGAATTTTAAATTGATCCAGCTCAATGTGTGTTGTCAATATTATTTATAGTTACATTAAAAATCTTAATAGCAGAAACCCAGTGAGCATAGAAAAGCTTGTTGTTAATAGTTATACAGTCTTGCTAGAATGATAGCCTATTATGTAGGATCAGCATGCCATGGAAAAATGCAATAATGTGGAAGCTTTATCACAGGGAATTAATTAACAAAGAAATATCAGACCTTTATCGAACACCTTTTTTAGAGTCATGTGTAACAGAGATGGGTCATTATTAATATAATTTAATTAAAAGTAAGTCACACACTGAAACTACCATTATATAATTTGAGACGGCCCAGTAAATGTAACTTTTTTTCATGAAAATTAAAATTCTGCTAGGGATCGCTTGCATTTGGCCATTTCCCTAAAACTCTGACTTTCACCATGTGGGCATTATATATTTCTCTGAAACCAAGGTAAGCTACATTAAAAAGATGATAAATCAAAAAAGCAAGAACTTGAACTGTTGACAATGAAACAACCCAACTCCCAGTCACAGCAACACTCAGAAGGCTAAGAAGGCATCCCATTGTATATCTGCAATGTGCTGACCACTACTATAAGGTGCTGAGCATCCTCTGCTGCCACTGAAGTCCGCAGAAGTTAAGGGCTCACAGTATCTTGCAGGCTTGCGCCTGTAGGTACTGCAGCTCTGATCCTTAGATGCCAATTTCCTTGCTTCCATTTCAGCCTCATCATTCCTTCAATGTAGTTTCTGCTGGATGAATTTCAGTGGGTTTAAAAAACCCCAATCTATTAACTTTTTGTTCAATCAAAAAAAAAAAAGAGACAGAAACAAGGCTAATAAACACCACAAAAAAGGAAACAGACAGAGAGGTCACAATGTTTATAGAGATGCAACTGAAGGCAGATGTTCCCCTACAGCTCAAGGGGGTTTGAATACATGTTTTGGACCAAGTCAATGGGAATTTCTCCCTATTGCAAGCTATACCAGCGCTAAATGAAACGTTGATAATTTTGTTTAATTTCTTTTCTTGGGGGGGAAGGGTGAAGAGAGGTAAACAATTGGTCAGAATCTTCTGGAGGATGTGAAGGTGAAACAAAGCCAGCTTTGTAGAAAAGGAGCAGACAACCCATAACCACTATTCACTAATTAACTGTTGCTGTTTAGGTTCTTACCCAGGAAAAACTCCCACTGGTGTTACTTTAGGTCAGTGAGAGTTTTGCCTGAGTAAAGGCTATACAATATAGATTGCTTTCATGGTTAGATTCCTGGCTTCTATCCTCTAGTTACCCACTGACTTGATTTGTGTCCTTGGGCTAGTCACTCATTAGTAAATAGAGGATAATACCCATCTCACAGAGGAATTAAGAGGCTATAATAAATTAATATTCTTTAAAGTGCTTTGAGATCCTGAGATGAAAAAATACCTTTACACATCAGGTGCATAGGCATCTTTGTTTGTTACTGTTTCTTGTGTAATGCTTGTTCACCATTCACCATGACAGAATGTGCAAATTAACATTACTGTACCAATAAAGTGGTGATTGCATACGAACTTAGAATAAAGATGTGATACATTTCTAAATGGCTACAAAGATGAGCATCAACAGATGAAAATCTCTGAATTGTAGGACTAAGATTTTTCATTATTTTGAAAGATCCTTCTTCTATCTCACACACTGTTGCTAGTTCCTGTCTTTTGAAAAATAATCAATGTTGAACTATGAACATTGCACCCATGAAGGCAAGTAAAAGCTGCTATGTTGTTTATCCAGTGAAGATACTTGGTAAGCCACTACCCAGTTTTAAGTCCCATCACGTTAGCTCTAGAGCTCTAAACTTGTCAAGTGAGTGCTCATTTTACTAGGACTTCTAAAAAAATCTTTCACAAAGCAGCAGTGACACGGGTGCCTGATCCACCTTTCAGTATGAAGTAATTCCCATTGAAACTTCTCATGCAGAAAACTTCTAGAAAGTGCTCCCTATCAA